TAATAAAGTAAGTCATTCCAAATTTGGTAGAAAAATCAATAAGCCTTTTAACATGATAGATTATATTTTAGATTTTGATTAAGTGTTGTGTGCTGATAAAACATTTTATATTTCATTTGTTTCAATCAGATTGTTTAGATTTTAAATGTATATTCACATGAATTTTTTTGTTGTACAATAGATTTGAAGTAAATAAGTAATGGATAAATATAATAAAATATATTTAACAAAATTTTGGGTTAATAATTTCAACACATACTTATTAAGAAGAGATAATGAATTGTGACAACAATACAATTTTTTTTTTGAGGCACCAGTTTTAAATGATAAAATATTGAAGTTGTTAAATAGTGAAATATTGAAATTGTTAAATAGTGAAAATACTCTGTTCAAAATAAAATGGTAATGATAACTGAGCAGAGCATTGGAAAGGGGGTGTAAGATTCGCATGTAAAGATGGCAACATTGCCACTATGTGACCACGAGGTCCAATGGCCTGTTCACTTCTGGCCTTGTAACGAGATGGTTGATTGTATAAAAACCAAGACTGAAAATAAACGTTGACTGTGATATTCACCAACTATAGTGCTTCATTCAAATTCCACCGATCCACCTCCTTCCAGACATCACATTAATATTTAAATAAGCCCACTTGGGGACCATTGCAAATTGCCTCTCTTACCTCCTACCCCTCTGTGGGCTCCTGAGCACCAATAATATAAATAGTAAATACCTATGTTTACCACAAATTTCTTGAGATTTCCTTTTAAAATATTTTTAAAATTACTAAAACTAAGAGAGATATACCACTTTTTGGTAAGTTAATGAGATTGTGCCACTTTCATTGTTTTATATTTATACCTATTTATTATTTTTACATATTTTACTGAAATTTTACGAAAATTGAAGAAACTTCATCAAAATTTTATGAGCCAAAGTCATTTTTTATCCGTTTTCCGATGCAATTATAGCAAAAGTAAAAGTTTAAATTAATCATGACTTTAAAAAAAAAAATTAAAGTCTGATTTAATTTACAAATTAAATTGGTAACTGAATTAAATTATTTAAATTAATTTATGCATATAAGTAACAATAATTACTTATAGAGTATTCAAATCCAAGCCGAACTAAACAAAAACGCCCAGACGCTTGATAAATCGTTCTTATTGGTCGATTCGGAATCTGTTGTAAATTATTATTAAAGGTCCCAGGGGAGGCCGCATGTGAAATTTATGCGAAATTTGCAGTAAATTGCGAAACTTTCAATGAAATTTCTGAAAGTTTCACAGGCAATGTTGAAATTTTCGGATTGAAAATTTCATTTGAAATTTTTAAAAATTTCAGTTTTTCAACTAAATGAAATATTTCAAGTTTGAAACTTTTAACCCTAATCATAAGTGGAAAAATTTGAATTTTGGGGTTTTTAGTGCAATAAGTGTAAAATTACTCATAGTTAATGCTGCAACAATGGCATAAAAATATTTTTTAAATTAATCCCTAGATGGAGACTTGTGTCTGTCTGCAATTTGTAAAAGCCCTATCATAATTTTCATCAACAGTGTCATAAGTATGTTACCTGTACATTGTGAAAGTAATTTTGTTAGCATAGGTTAGTAAAGTTAAAGTTGTCAACAATAAAAGAATGAATAAGTGACGCTCCTCACCTAAAGGCAAAGAGTCGTGTCTCTAGGGTCTCGTTTAACGCGTTCGTACTTCCATATTGCTACCACTTCAATCGGTGTTCAAATTCATAAAATCAATTAATGATTCTACACATGATCTATCAGAACCAAGTGCAAAAAGGGTGCAAATTGCGTGAGGCACCTTTTACTGGATTAAGTCCCAAAGTACTTTACCTGTGAAAAAGACTGTGAGTAAGGTGATTGCATACATCGAATATTTTTTCCTGGATTACCAACACAGAGACAACACGTGCTAATAGTTGGCTGTCGGGGTTAAGGAATAATTTCACAAGACCTGCCTGTCAATGCACCTGAAGTCCAAGTCCGCATTAACCGGATAAGTAAACCTACCAAAACTGGAAGACCTTAATAATACCCAATTACTAAATTTTAATGCGAGATTCGCAACCTTAACTTATAAAGAACTCCACCATGTAAAAATTAAATGGTCGCCAACAGTTTCCATAAAAACAGCAATCATAGCCAAAGAACTCACATAAGCAGTAATTAAACACTCCAAGTTTAAATAAATACTAGGCAAAAGAAACTCATCCTAAATAAATAAACATCTGTAGATTACTAAGAACATTTAAGGGAACCAAATTACGTTATATGAGAAATAATAAACAACCGCACAGTGGAGTGCAGCAACATTATCGTCAGCAATCTCGGAATCCGACTCGGACACATACGAACACTAAGTACTTCAAGACCAGCAAGGATAGGTCCTAGCAGCGTACTAACAAACCAAGCCCCATTCATGAACCCCAATTGAATGAGGTAAATACTAAATCCCTGGTTGAGGGGGACTTAGTTTTGGGTCAGTTCAATGTCCCTCAAAAACCAAAATATTTTCCCTCCTTGTCCGCACTCTACTAGCCGACAAAATTCCGGAAGTGGCCTTAACCATCTACACTGTCAATAGCTGGCCATACACAGGCGTTATTTTGCGCGGTTTATCGTGGAGTGTTGGGATGTAGCGGTTAGTATGCACGAAAGAACAGCATGGCAAAAAAAGCGTCATGTTCCATACACTTGATAAAGTATTCAAATGATTTAGCAAGTGATTGCGCGTAGTATATCAGTTTCAAAGGAAAAATCGTATGTGAGTGGCCAAAAAGTGTCACGTGACGCGGAATGTGGCGTGTGGACACTGCTGAAATGATGTACGCCACAATCCAGAGGAAAGCACGTCTGAAATACCTTCCCGTTCTATCATTGCGTGCGGCGATACTCACTCACGTACATGATTTTCCATATGTTTTTGCAGATAACACGATAAACCGCGCGCAATAACGTCTGTGTATGGCCAGCTATTCAGGACCTCGTAGGCGAGATTTACCAGCCGGAGTGAAAATTCGTATCCACCAAACACAGCAATGCTGTGCAGTGGCGGGATACGTGGGAGAACTGAAAGGGGGTAAAATAACCCTGGGAAATCAGTGTAAAGCGTTGCCGATCGGGCCAGTCATACGTTCGACATATTCGTATTCAACAATAAAAGAATGAAAATTTAAAAAATTGATCAACACATTTTTAGCAATACAGACATATCTGCAAAATTAATACACATATTTTCAGCAATACAGACATATCTCCAAAATTGATTCACACCTTCTTCGGCAACACAGACATATCTACAAATAGCTCTTATCCAAAAAGAGTATTTTCTAAAATATAATTATTAACTGGCTCAGAATCTTAGTGTGGTTCTTCCTTTGCAAAGAAAATACTGTAAGTTAATTTAATTTTACAAATATGTGAGAATTTTATTATTCAAAAATCTTTGACGGTCATTATCTCGGAATTAAGGTTTTACTACTTATGACACTGTTGTCGCCCATGTGCGATATGTAATTTTAAATTATTTTAAATTGGAGCTATACCTTTTTAATCAAAGTATATAAATGTTTTACTTATGCCTATAGATTTCGTTGTATTGTGTTGGCCTGATATGCGTTAGTAGTCATGTGTAAGGTTTTTTACATTTTGCTCAAAAACAACTAATATGGATAAGCCGACTTTTGGAATGCACCTCCTCAATTAATGGTCTTTAAAAGTATACCACATAAAAGAACCACACTGTGTTTTAAATGAAAGGATATGATATATCTCCTTTAAATGCTAAAAACCTCAATTACAATTTAATTCTTATGCTGGTATAACATAATGAGAAAATGTATTGTAATATTTATAAATCACTCTGTATAAGTTACAAGATAATATTTAAATTAAACTTAAGTTTAAATATTTTATTTTTTAAAATAAGAATTAAGACAAGAAATAGTATGGCCAGCTATTCAGGACCTCGTAGGCGAGATTTACCAGCCGGAGTGAAAATTCGTATCCACCAAACACAGCAATGCTGTGCAGTGGCGGGATACGTGGGAGAACTGAAAGGGGGTAAAATAACCCTGGGAAATCAGTGTAAAGCGTTGCCGATCGGGCCAGTCATACGTTCGACATATTCGTATTCAACAATAAAAGAATGAAAATTTAAAAAATTGATCAACACATTTTTAGCAATACAGACATATCTGCAAAATTAATACACATATTTTCAGCAATACAGACATATCTCCAAAATTGATTCACACCTTCTTCGGCAACACAGACATATCTACAAATAGCTCTTATCCAAAAAGAGTATTTTCTAAAATATAATTATTAACTGGCTCAGAATCTTAGTGTGGTTCTTCCTTTGCAAAGAAAATACTGTAAGTTAATTTAATTTTACAAATATGTGAGAATTTTATTATTCAAAAATCTTTGACGGTCATTATCTCGGAATTAAGGTTTTACTACTTATGACACTGTTGTCGCCCATGTGCGATATGTAATTTTAAATTATTTTAAATTGGAGCTATACCTTTTTAATCAAAGTATATAAATGTTTTACTTATGCCTATAGATTTCGTTGTATTGTGTTGGCCTGATATGCGTTAGTAGTCATGTGTAAGGTTTTTTACATTTTGCTCAAAAACAACTAATATGGATAAGCCGACTTTTGGAATGCACCTCCTCAATTAATGGTCTTTAAAAGTATACCACATAAAAGAACCACACTGTGTTTTAAATGAAAGGATATGATATATCTCCTTTAAATGCTAAAAACCTCAATTACAATTTAATTCTTATGCTGGTATAACATAATGAGAAAATGTATTGTAATATTTATAAATCACTCTGTATAAGTTACAAGATAATATTTAAATTAAACTTAAGTTTAAATATTTTATTTTTTAAAATAAGAATTAAGACAAGAAATAGAATACGCTTCTGAAATTGGTCCATATATTAAAAACCTAACAAGTTTACCTTGTAGGCTGGATTAATAGGTTCTGATTTTTCCAATTTAAGACGTAATTTTATTTTCTCAGTAGGCTTAAGTAAATTTGGAGAATCACGTCCAATATCACGTGATTTTAAATTCTTTTTGGATATTTTTATATCAGTTGATTTGGCATCATTGTCACTTTGATCTGTAATTGTTATATCTGTACTTTTGGATGTATTATCTTCATCAGAAAACGCCGCTGGGGATGGAAGCCCAGTAAAAACATCCTTGGTTTCTTCATTATCACTTTCATCACTTAGTTGGGGCTCAAGTTCCCCAGTTAAAGGATTTATAAGAAATTTTTGATTATCATTAACAGTACGTTCCATTCCTGAAAAAAACATTATTTTTTTAATGAATATAATAGGGTGTTCCAAAATGGCGGTTAACTTTTTTTATTTTAGTTTATATAAAAAGATTGAAAACAATTTTGAAACGCCGTTTCAAAAAGAAAGTAATATGTTGTACAGCAAAGATATCTTTGCTGTACAACATATCGTCCTTAAATTTACAAAGTGGCGCATCTGAGAATTTATGTTATGTAAAAAAGCAATTACAACAAGCAAGACCAAGGTTCAATGAAATGTATGAGAATTGCCAGAAATATTGTTGGTTTTCTTGTTTTCCAATTTCATCCAACAAAAGAAGTTCCGCCTCTGTAGAGAAATGATAACCTCTTTTCGATTTAATATTGCTCATAGCGAAAATACGAAAATAAACTCAATAAAACATGAAGAAACATGTCAATTTTCACTTTCCACAGTGTCTAAAGTATAATGAAAATTTAGTGAAAAGTTTGAATGTGTATGATTATGAAACACCTTAACTTTAGCTCTGGACTTGAAATGAAACTTTATCATTAATGTACTTTAAGTAAAGTGTGATTATGAAACTGAGCCCTAATATTATAATAAAAAATGATTTAAAGTTTAAATGTTTTTACACAAACTCCTAGAAAAGACATATGTCAACCATTTTAACTTAATCTATCTGGAGAAGCCTTGTTCATTTTGTTGGGAATCAACAGCTAACAAAAATGACAAAAAAAAATTTGCCGAGTAATTTTTGAGTTTAAAAATTAAATTATATTTTGTTATTTATATCAGTGTTTTTAAACTTTCTTGAATACGCGACCCCTTACAAGTAAAAAAATCTGGCGACACTCCAGGACTGTAATAAAACAATGTCGGTGATTTCATTCGATATATTTAATTTTCTTTCTATAGATACTGATCGAGAAACCCGGGGCGCTTATGCAGGCAGTATATTTTAAACAAGAGCCTCCAAGGGAGAGAAGAAAACATAATAATAATAATAATATTAAATAAATAAAATAAAGGATTCCACAGAAAACTTCGTTTGTGGTTAACTTCTTTACATAATATTATGCATGTCTTTGCCTTGCGTTCAGAGTCAAAGAAATTGCAAAAGACCAATCGTTAGCAGCATTCCTTGCATCCTTGCATGATACAGAGATTAGAAAAAGAAAACATTAAGTTACTTTCCAGAACTAGACTCAGAAGCTGACAATGAGCATATATGGTGACATGAGTCGCTAATAGAGTTGTTAAAACGAAACGAAAAAGCTCTTAAGAATAGGTTAGGGGTAACATGTTCAGTGAACTGTTCTTTTGTAAAAGACCGAAACCGTTACCCCGAGAACCGATTGCTTTTTTAAACGTCGCAAGAAACAGGAATACCACAATAATAAAATCTCTCTCAACTGTTAAATGCAATTGGGTTTGTTCGGGTTCACGAAATAAACGATTCAGGACTGTCCAGAACTGTCAGAGTCATGCGTATAACTCTACTGTTTTATTATTGTATTATGGTTCAAGTTCAACATAATACAAAACTACAACTACAATAGAACAACATTTTTTTAATCTACAATTTAATCAAAAGAACAGGTGAACAGGTTGTTCTTTAGTAAAAATTAAACTGTTCGAACCTGTTTAGGAATTTTATTAGTTCTTTAACATCTCTAGTCACTGAAAGAAATTTTCATAAATTTTGCTGCTAAAGGCATGCTTAAAATGTAAAAATAGAACTTCGCACAGGCTTCTTACTAAAATTCTGCTGTGATAAGCCAAACCCCCGTATCCGCAATATTAAGTATTAAAGGACAAACTATGCATTTTATTGTTTTTAACAATAAAAATGATATTTTGTCCCTTATAACTCAATATTGTACAAACGGCTTGGCTTACCAGGGCAGAATTGTTGTATTGTTAAAATTTATTATAGTCATAATACTTTTTAATTTTTTGGCAAATATGCCTCTTAGGGCCGGTTTATCAACGTCATTTTGTGTATATTGTTATGCTTGTGTTATTATTTTTATTTTATAGGTGTTACACCTACAGTACATATTGGTATGTTTTTAAATAAAAATACGTGTTGATTTTTTTTGAGATATCGGCTGCAGAAACAAATATAGTGAAAATCATGGAGGAAGAAATAGAAACTTTTACGGATATGTAGGAGATTTAATCTTTATATAATATATTATCTTTTATTTTTGGTTACACACATTCATTTAAGAATATCGCATTTTAAAATCTTTCTTTACCATAAAAAATCTATTTAGGATCAATACTTTTCAAATTGTTCTCTTGCTACGTGAACAAATATTTAGAACTTGTACGAACCTATTAGTAAATGTTTCTATTTCTCCCTCCATGATTTTCACTATATTTGTTTCTGCAGCCGATATCTAAAAAAAATCAACACCGTCATTATTTTAAATAATTTAATGTTAGTGCCGTTCTAAAACTGTATATAGTCTTCTCTTGTATTGCACCAACTCAACAATTTGTTTATTGTCGTGACTTATCTCACTTGCAGCTTTCAGTTAAATTTACTTCCAGTTATCTTAATTTAAGTTCTTAGTAAAGGTTGGTTGCATATTGATAAACAGTTAAGCTACTTTTATTTACCAGTTAAGACACTTAACTGGACATTAATAAACCGGCCCTTAGGGTAGTTAGTTATCTGGCAGAAAATGTCCATTTTCATAACAACCGTTTTTAGATGTCTTATAAATCAGCTTAGAAAAATGCTGCGTTACCTACCGGGTTTTCTAAACTTAAATGTAGTCTATTTTTTTAATGTTTTACATTTCTTATTTAATTTAAAATGTCGAAAACCTGTTTTTCGACATACGTCCGGCATACATCCTACATACGTATACAAAGAAAACAGCAAATTGTAATGTCTGTGCTTGTTTCACAAATTAATAAAGCAATATAAAACTGTAAGTACTATATACAGACTGTATAGAATCAAGTAAGTAAGGCTGGAGACAAGGATGACAAATTATATTCTGATCAGAGAAAAAGAAACAAACTTTAATTGGGCGTGGTTTAAACCAAGCCATTCGTAATTACGAACCATAGTTGCCAGGTTGTTTTAAATCAGAAGAGAACGATTATAATTATTTAATAAATAGTTCAATTTTATTTGTTTGAAACTTTAAAAATAACAAAAAAATTAATAATTTGATTTAGTTAATTTTCTTACTTTTAATATTAAAAAATAAGAAAAACAACCCTTTTAGGAAACAATAATAGCATATGGCAACAGCGCGGCATGCAGCCAGATACAAGGGCATGCAGTTTGATCTACTGTGTAACACAGTCTGTGTTTGTTCAGTAGCTCCGACGCTGTCCTAGGGAAATGTGTATAGTTTTTAAGAAATACATTTTCGCCATTAACTGGAATTTAATGGATTTTAAACAATACTTAGTTTTTATTTGCAGAAATGCATTAAAACAAAACAAACGAATTCGATAAAAATAAAACCTATAAATTCTCAAACCCAATCCCTACCACAGTGGGCGGGGTTTGGCACTTGTTTTATTTAAGTGTATCTATTCGTTTTAATACACACTGTATAATAGTTTGTTTTACAAGTGTTGTAAATGGTTTTTCTACGACCCTTTTATTTTAAATTACATTCAAATACAAAACAAAATAACCTAAAAACGTGTTTGACAGCTGTTAAAATTACTTTCATCTTATTCTTTTTTTAAGGTATAAGTTACTTAAAATCAATAAACTTACCTTCTCAATTTAAATAAAGGTACTTAAATTGGAATTTATTATCCAAACATAATTAATTGTGTTCTAAATGATATTTAGACATACATATACAAATACAATACAAATTTTAAAACGAATGTCAAAGGATGCTGTCAATTTCTTTTCAAACAGACCTGTCACTTTTTACACAGAAATGTCACTTCACAATTTGTGTTTTGCCTTGCCAATGAAAATATTCCTTTTCTAAGCAACGATGCCATTTCGAAATGTGACTTTTACATAGTGGTCGTAGAAAAAAATGTTTTAAAAATCTGTAAAAAAATATTTTAAAAATCTGTAGTTAACAATTAAACAAACAATTTAAATCATTTTTCGAAATTCCGCACTTGTTTTTTAATACAAATTATTTAAACAATTTCAATTATTTATGCCTTATAGGCCTACCATCGCAGTGAATATTTTATAAAATGTAATCTGCACTCTTATTTTTGTGTCCCAAAAAGAAAAAAATGACATTCGATAAGCATTTTTTCACGCGCCCCGTATCGCCCGACACCGCGAGCAGAGCGGGAGGCGCGCACAGCAAACGCGACGCACGCGGTTTATACTTTAAATAATTGGAAAATAGAATAGATTTATTGCTTCCAAATTAGTGTTATGTGAGGAATGTAATTCTATTATTTAAGAGGAATTCTATCAGTGTACATATATTATATTCAATGAAAAAAAAAATAATTAATTTATTTTAGTTTTTAATTAATAATTAACTGTTAAAAGTACTTAATAATGCGTAATTCGTATTAGTAATCCAGAGCAAACTTCGACTATCAACCAACACCGGTGAAGGGTCTACTGCTGAATTACGAAAACGTATTTGGTGGGTATGGTACATCAGTCATTGGACCATACCATTCGGGAGACGCGCTTCGAGCCCGGCTCGGTGGCAAGATGGAAGGCATTTCAGTCTTTGCAATATTGGTTGCCTACTAGTACATTGTGATTGCACGCCGCACAGCGAGGCCCCGTCTCTAGACGGTAGATGTCTCCAGAATGACTTGCCGATACATCTCGCCGCTGTCCTGGCCACTTATTTCTTGAACAGTCCGAGCTTGATGCGAGTCTCCTGTCACTGACTGCCTAACACTGATGAGATCCAACAGGTCGAAACAGGCTGTCTGTCAGTGTTGGTGGGTATTGTGCATTGGACCATACCATTCGGGAGAAGCGCTTCGAGCCCGGTGGCGAGATGGAAGGCATTTCAGTCTTTGCAATATTGGTTGCCTACGG